CTCTCTCTCTCTCTCTCTCTCTCTCTCTCTCTCTCTCTCTCTCTCTCTCTCTCTCTCGGTGAGGAAACCGACTATGCCAAAATTTTGAGCGCCGCTTGCCGTTGGATGCACCTTGGGGAGCTCAGGAACGAAAGCCTCGCTTCAGTTGTCCTGATAACTTCGCACAATTTGACATTGCTCCTATCCCCCTGCTGGTGGAATCATGCCGAAGTTTTTGGCCAGAGGTGTATTCCGTGATGCTGGTAGCACCTTCCCCTTCCCATTGCACCGGTCGGTCAGACATGACTGCACACTCTGCACACACTGTTGAAAAAAGGCAAAGGAAGATCAATGGCATCACTGCATCAATTGGCCTGATTTTTAATTATTTTTTTTAACTACATTTTTTTCATGGAAAATTGTTGAAATGCCCCTGGAAGTTGGGGTATTTGTCAGATACCTCTGGAAGGCATGGGTATGTCGAAATTCCCCTATTCCTAATTGAAGGCGTACGGGAAGGTAGTGTGAGGTGAAATTGAGAGGAGAACATAGCTAGAGTCTGCCTCAGTCCGAGTGGGCTGCGCTAGCGCTAGCGCCCTGAAGTCGGCCGACTGGCAGGGCCCGGTCACCCCGGCTCGACCAGCGCCGGCGGAGAATAGCTCCCCGGATGCTGGGCCTGCCTACGTGCCCGACAGGTGCAAGTGGTTATCCGCCGGTCGGTGCCTGTTGATTGGTGACGTGCATGTCCCACGACACGTGGACAGGGGCAGCGCCAGCCGTGGGATTGTCAAGTGAATCGTGTGAATGGCGCAGCAAATTCGGCGCGAGATGGATTCGGTGGAGGAGTCAGCGTGCGGAAGAATGGCTCCACACACTGGGAGAGGGCTGCAAGCAGCTGTGGATGATAGTGGGGACGCTGATGCAGCGGAGGCAGGAGGGGGTGGAGATTGATGGGGGGGCGGTCTCTATGGAGCAGTGGTTAGAAGTCAGGATCCAGGAGATGTTGGATGTCATGTGGGAGCTGGAGGAGGGGCCGGATCCCCGGCTCGAACCCTACATCGACTGGAGGCGGGCGGATGATGGGATGGATGTGTGTAAAGCCCTC